CAGGAAGTGGGGGCCGAGCCGAGGCCACGCAGAGTCCAAGGCCGAGACGCCCGAGGCAGCCCTGTCATTAGCGCAGTGGCCGGCGGGGTTGTCGGACTCCCGTTGTCAGGCCGTGTCCGGCAACAATAGGATACGGAGGACGGGCCGCGGGGTGGGGGTTCAAGGGCCCGATTGGCGCTGGACACCCGCCCTCGCCACCCCCAGGGAGCCCCGCGCGGACTCATTCCATGATGTCCCTGTCGGTGCGGCCGCAGCGCCGCCTGCTCAGCGCCCGGGTCAATAGGAGCCAGTCCTTCGCAGGCGTCCTCGGCAGCCACGAGCGGGGGCCCAGGTACGCAGCAGAGGGGGGCTGATGGGGTCAAGAGGGTCGGACTGGGTTGGAGCTGAGTGTGCAGTGAGGGTTTGGGGGATTCCTTCTTGGCCCTTTCTGAGTGCAGCCTCTTCTTCAGCAGCTTCCCGGCCTTCAGTCCCCCGGGGCCCCCGCGGAAGGCCCCTGCGCTCTCTCGAGTGTCCAGGATGTTTGCAGTGGCGCACCCAGCCCCCAAGGTCCCGCAGCCAGAGCGGCTGGACCTGGTGTACGCTGCGCTCAAGCGGGGCCTGACGTAAGCAACTCCCTCCCTAGCCCCCGTCCTCTTTCTGCTAGTGGGAACCTTCCCCAGCCTCACGCCCTCTCCCCACTGCCCGCACCCTGGGCAGCTGGAGGCTGTAGAGGTAAGCTAATTTTTGTTGTCACCCCTTTTCCCAGGGCCTATTTGGAAGTACACCAGCAGGAGCAGGAGAAACTCCAAGTGCAGATAAAGGAATCCAAGAGGAATTCCCGCCTGGTGAGTGAAGGGTTGGTGAGGATGCCCTGGACTACTAATGCTTTTTGCCCTTGTAGTGGGGGGAGGAAGGGGGGCGCTGGGCAGGGCCAACCCTGGGTGACATCAAGGCTGTTTTCTGGTTTGTCTTGGTCTAGGTGTGCCTAGAAAAGGGTTGGGGAAGTTTCTATCCCCACATTTCCCAGACTGTGCACTTTCTGCCTGGGACCCAGTGCCTGCCCATGTGAGCTTCCAGTGGGGTGGGTGGACCCCCACAGACATGAATAACAGGAGATTATATTGTAGTGGTATTGAGGGAGAGCCATGGTTCTTCCTAGGGAACAGCTCAGGGCTTCCCAAAGGAGGAGACACTTCTGCTGGGTTTTGAAGGATGAATAGGAGTTCCCTGGTAGAGGGAACCACGCATGTGGCACAGAGCTGTCTTCCTAGGGGTTGCAGGGTTGCAGGAAAGGGAGTGGGCTAAGGGAGGAACCCCAGGGAAGAAATGGGGGGAAGGGTGCAGGAGGGGTCTTGGGGACCATATCTTTGTCACCAGTACCCAGCAAAGTTCAGGCATGTGGAAAGGTTGGTCAATCCCTGCTTTGACTGGAGTGGCTGTGGATTATGGTGTGAGGGGGAGGAAGGCTGTAAAGGAGAGGAGCTTGCCTGCCAGCCCTAGCCAGTTTGGCTCAGTGAATAGAGTATTGGCCTGTTCCCTGAAGGGTCCCAGGTTCGATTCCAGTCAAGGGCACATGCCTGGGTTGCAGGCTCTATCCCCAGTAGGGGCTGTGCAGGAGACAGCCAATCAGTGATTCTCTCTCATCATTGATATTTCTCTCTCTCTCTCCCTCCCTCTTCTTCTCTAAAATCAATAAAAATACATTAAAAAAAAAAAAAAAAGGAGAGGAGCTAGATGGGTCTGAGTAGCAAATGCCCTGCTGGAACACATACCATACTTTCTAAGTGCTCCCTCTCATCTTCCCCTGCAGGGCTTCCTGTATGACTTAGACAAGGTGAGTATATAGAGAATGGTGTTGGAAGAGGTTGGCTCATGGGGGAGGACAAAGGGCCCTGGGCCTCAGGCTCCTCCTGACACACCTCTCCCCCAGCAAGTCAAGTCCATTGAACGCTTCATGCGACGGCTGGAGTTCCATGCCAGCAAGGTACATATGCAGCATGCATGAATACATGTGTGGGTTTCGGGGTTGGGTGTTTTAGGGAGATGGGGGTGCTAGGCCCTGGGTGAGCAACGCCAGTAGTGAGTCTCAATCCCCCCACTGCCACTCCACTCACCTGCCCAGATCGACGAGCTATATGAGGCATACTGTGTCCAGCGGCGTCTCCGGGATGGTGCCTACAACATGGTCCGTGCCTACACCACCGGGTCCCCAGGGAGCCGTGAGGCCCGGGACAGCTTGGCCGAGGCCACTCGTGGGCATCGAGAGTACACAGAGGTGAGGGATGGGTGCCCAGGAGGCAGAGGCTCAGGGTATGGCAGAGCTGGGGAGAGGGGACTGATTGTTGACCCTCTCCTGTCCCTGCCTGTCCCTCCCAGAGCATGTGTCTGCTGGAGAGTGAGCTGGAGGCACAGCTGGGAGAGTTCCATCTCCGGATGAAAGGTACTGAGTGGTGGGGGCAGACCGGTAGCAGGGAGAGGGAAGTGTGTGCCTGAGACCCCTCCCTCAACATGGCTCTTCTTTCCCTCCACTCCCAGGACTGGCTGGCTTCGCCAGGCTGTGTGTGGGTGATCAGTATGAGGTATGAGGATGTGCAGGGAAGGGCTGGGATGGCAGGGTCACAACACCAAGGGCTGCCTCATCCTGCTTGTTCCCTTAGATCTGCATGAAATACGGGCGTCAGCGCTGGAAACTACGGGGCCGCATTGAGGGTAGTGGAAAGCAGGTGTGGGACAGTGAGGAAACCGTCTTTCTTCCTCTGCTCACGGAATTCCTGTCCATCAAGGTTAATGTCTCTGCCCAGGACCACAGGACACATGATCCTGTAACTCCAGGACCCTGTGAACCCCTTTTGACCCTTACAACCCTGTGACCCACCCCTCCTGGCTCCATGGCCCTGTGAATATGTGATGCCATGATCTTCAGACCCTGTGCCTATTCGACCCCCTAAGTCCCCATGAGGCAGTGATCCCCATGACCTCAATGACTCTACAAAGTTAGACCTCTCTGATCCCCGTGCTCACAGGGTGTTTCAGGCTTCCATGGCCCCATTACCCAGAGAACTCCCATCCCTGCAACCTCCTCATGACCTCATGACCCCATGACCCCGTGACCATTGCAAAACCTCTATGCAAATTCAGACTTTTGATCTCCCATGATCTCATGACCTCGACACTCTTGTGACCCCATGATGCATTCTTGGCTATAGGTGACAGAGCTGAAGGGCCTGGCCAACCATGTGGTTGTAGGCAGCGTCTCCTGCGAGACCAAGGACTTGTTTGCAGCCCTGCCCCAGGTTGTGGCTGTGGACATCAATGACCTCGGCACCATCAAACTCAGCCTGGAAGTCACATGGAGGTTGGTGGGGTTGAGGAGCTTGGGGACAGGGCCAGGAGCCAGTGGCATCTGCTAACAGCCTCTTTCCTCCCCAGCCCCTTCGACAAAGATGACCAGCCCTCAGCTGCTTCTACTGTCAACAAGGCCTCCACAGTCACCAAGCGCTTCTCCACCTATAGCCAGAGCCCACCAGACACTCCCTCGCTTCGGGAACAGGCCTTCTATGTGAGTCACAACCCAGGCTCCGGCCCCACCATCCCCCAGGGGTCTGAAAATGGTCCTGAAATGCCCTTTCCTCTCTCCCAGAATATGCTGAGGCGGCAGGAGGAGCTGGAGAATGGGACAGCATGGTCCCTGTCATCCGAATCTTCGGACGATTCATCCAGTCCGCAGCTCTCGGGCAGTGCCCGCCACTCCTCAGCCCCAAAGCCCCTGGTGCAGCAGCCTGAGCCTTTGCCCATCCAAGTTGCCTTCCGTAGGCCTCAGACCCCCACCTCCGGGCCCACGGATGAGGAGGGAGCCATGGCCCCAGTCCTGGCCAATGGGCATGCCCCCTACAGCCGGACTCTCAGCCACATCAGTGAGGCCAGTGTGGATGCTGCCTTGGCTGAAGCTTCAGTAGAGGCTGAGGGCCTAGAAAGCCAGGGACCTAACCCACCTGCACACCCAGATCCCACCCATAGGGAGCATCCTGGTCCTGACCCTCTTGCCCTGGGCCCTGGCCATTCTGCCACAAGCCCCACTCTCAGTGCAATAGGCCCTGCTCACACATCTACAGACCCTGTCCCATCTGCATATCTAAACTCTCTCCACAAGACTCCAGACTCTAGCTCTCCTGAACTGCCAGGTCCCGCCCACACCACTTCAAGCTCTACCTGTAGTGCCATAAGCCCTATCAGCAGTGCTCCAAGCGTCACTCACACTGTCACAGGCTCTACCCACAAGCCCAAGCCCTCCACCCTCACTGCTACAGGCCCTAGCCCCATTGCCATGGGCTCAGGCCAGACCACAAGTCCCACCCACAAGTCAGTGCTTTCTACCCTCACTATTGCAGGTCCTAGCCCCAACACTACAAGCCCAGTCCAGACCACAAGCCCCAGCCACACTGTCACAAACCTGACAAATATTGTCACAAGCCCCACCATCAAGCCCATACTCTCTACCCCCACTACTACAGGCCCTAGCCCCAACACTACAAGCTCAGTCCAGACCACAAGCCCCAGCCACACTGTCACAAACCTGACAAATATTGTCACAAGCCCCACCATCAAGCCCATACTCTCTACCCCCACTACTACAGGCCCTAGCCCCAACACTACAAGCTCAGTCCAGACCACAAGCCCCAGCCACACTGTCACAAACCTGACAAATACTGTCACAAGCCCCACCGTCAAACCCATACTCTCTACCCCCACTACTACAGGCCCTACACCAAGCGCCCAGAGCCCAGCCCAGCCTACCACAATGCCCACCCACACCACCACAAGCCCCACCCACACTTCCACAAGCCCCACCCACACCACCACAAGCTCCACCCATACCACAAGCTCCACCCACACTACCGCAAGCCCTACTCCCAAAGCCAGTATGTCAGCTCACACTACTGTAAGTCCAACCACCGATGCTAAGGACCCAGTCCAGACCACGAGAAGCCCCACCCACCCTGTCACAAGCCCCACCCTTATAACTGTAAACCCTTCCACTTCTCTAGACCTCGCCACGCTCCCCAGCCCCTCTGCACACACAGACCCCAACCCACTGTCCCATAGCCATCCAGCTTCCACTCCCTGCACTCAGGCAGATCCCATAGCCCCAAGCACCTCCGACCCAAGCCCTGCCTGCTCCAGTTTGGAACCCCCTACAAGCCCTTCCCCAGGCCCCCCAGAGCCCATCCTTCAGAACCCAAGCCTCCCTCCCTCACCCTTAACCGTTGGGCCCCAGCATTCAGACTTTAGCCTGGCCACGACTGCCCAGGCCCCAGTTCCAGGAGCAACGGGAGGAGCTGGAGACAGGAGGCTGGAGGAGGCACTGGGGGCCCTAATGGCTGCTCTGGATGACTATCGTGGCCAGTTCCCAGAGCTGCAGGGCCTGGAGCAGGAGGTGATCCGCCTGGAGAGTCTGCTCATGGTAAGGAGGGCCGGGCTGGGCTGTGGCAGCACAGGAAGGGCAGCCAGGCCGTGGCAACAGCTCTGACTCCCTTCACAACCCCAGCAGAGACAAGGCCTGACTCGCAGCCGGGCCTCCAGTCTTAGCATCACTGTGGAGCATGCCCTGGAGAGCTTCAGCTTCCTCAACGAGGATGAAGATGAAGACAACGATGGTCCTGGAGACAGGTGACGGGGGCTAAGTGAGATGGGGTTAGGTGAGGGGGAATAAGTGAGGTGAGTGCCAGGTGAAGGAGTAAGGCAAGAAAGGAGAAAGATGAGGTGGCGCCAGGTGGAGCATATGAGTAGTGCAGCCAGACTGGAAGAGGACAGGAGGGGTGGACTTGCTTGTGGGTGCATCTGTGTTTATCCCTCCCATGTACTCCTCATGTGTCCTTGATGCCCTGTTTCTAACCCCATCTATCCCTAGTGCTTCTGACCACCCTGCAATGTCTGCTTGCCCTGCAATGTCTGCTTCCCTCACCAGTCTCCATCCGCTCGTGAGCCCTTTCAGGCGCTCCCCACGGCTGTCCTGGAGAGCCCGGCCCCTCAGCTCTCTGTGACCAAGTGGTCTTTGAAAATTCCAAGTTGAGGGTCACGCCCGGCCCCTCCTCCATCTGCTGCTGCCCAGGTCACAGCCCTGTGCCCTGAGCCCCTTGGGCCACAGCCCCTTGCATTTCACATTGCATAGACCATCCCCTTGCAACCCCACAGTCCTAGCTGGATGTGGCACAGGGCAGATGGACTCTGAAGACCACTGCTACACCTGCTGGTCCCAGCCCCTTCCTCCTGGAATTTCTCCGTGAACTTACCCATTGTCTGTCTGTTGTCTGTGCGTCTGTTCTTCCCTTCTGGGATGGGGGGGAGGGGGACTTAATGAAAATACAGTGGTGACCAGATGGTGATATGTACTCCTAAGGTGGTTGCCACAATTTCTCTCTCAGGCCCCCAAGCAGCCTGGAGCCTAAGGCTGAAGACAGCCTCAACTCACCCAGTGCCCATCCCCTCAGCACGGAGTGTCCAGCTCTGGACACTGCCTTGGTCCAGCACCTGTACTACTGCAGCCGCCTCCTGCTGGTGAGGCTAGTGGCATTCCCCCCTACGCTCCTTTTACCTCAGGGAACTCTCCACACCTGCTCTGAGTTCCATTCCCCAATGCCCCAGGTCCCTGGCATCTGGCTCTTACTGAACACCTCCCACACTCTGGCTCCCTCTAATCTCTCCTAATGCATGCTGGGACTTGTAGTCCCTGGGCTTCACTCTCCCCAAGTTCTACCTTGAGATCTGAGCTACTTGGCCACCCCTATTCTCCAGAAACTGGGCACATTTGGGCCGCTACGCTGTCAGGAGGCATGGGCCCTGGAGCGACTGCTGCGGGAGGCCCGAGTGCTCGAGGTGGTATGCGAGCTTAGCAGGAGATGGGAAATCCCTGCTACTTCTGCCCAGGAAGGTAAAGGCCCTGTGGGCTCTGGCTTGGTGACTGCCCTGAAGCTCCTTCCTTGTTCTACGCTACCTACACTTGTCTGCCCACCTGCCTACTCGGTTGCTGACGGTCTCTTGCACCTCCTCACAGTGGTGCAGTTCTCAGCCTCTCGGCCTGGCTTCCTGACCTTCTGGGACCAGTGCACAGAGGGACTTAGCCCCTTCATCTGCCCTGTGAAGCAGGTGCTCCTCACCTTCTGCAATCAGTACGGTGCCCGGCTCTCCCTGCGCCAGCCAGGCTTAGCTGAGGCTGGTGAGTAGGCTGCCTGCCTGCCCCCTCTGCCCTCCCTTCTCAGATCCCCAGTGATGGGACCGCAGGGAAAGCCAGGTCAGCTCACACAGACGTGCTGAGCTGAGCATTGAGAAGATATAGCAAAGGCTTGTGCCTTGATGCAAGAGGACCCAGATGGGTAGGGTTTGGACAAGGGGCCCCTGGACCTGAGCCTGGGGTGGGAGCACTCTTTCCTCTAAGGGATTGGGTCCGCCCAAACCCTGAGGTCTTTGGCACTGCTTCCCACAGTGTGTGTCAAGTTTCTGGAGGATATGCTGGGACAGAAGCTGCCCAGGAGGCCCCAGCCAGGCCCTGGCGAGCAGCTCACTGTCTTCCAGTTCTGGAGTTATGTGGAAACCCTGGACAGCCCCTCCATGGAGGCCTATGTGACGGAGACCGCTGAGGAAGGTGAGGCAGTAGCCCCGATCACCAAGTGCCCAACAGTATGTGTGGGCCTTGAGGTCTGGATGAGGACATGAATGTACAGAAGACCCCACCCCAGGAAGCTCCTTGCCCTGCTACATTGTTCCAAGGTCCTTCTTTCAGTGTTACTGGTGCAGAACCTGAACTCAGATGATCAGGCTGTTGTGCTCAAGGCCCTGAGGTTGGCACCTGAAGGGCGGCTACGAAGGGACGGGCTTCGGGCCCTCAGCTCCCTGCTCGTCCATGGCAACAACAAGGTCATGGCTGCTGTCAGCACCCAGCTCCGGAGCCTGTCGCTAGGCCCTGCCTTCCGGGAAAGGGTGAGAGTGGGGCAGGGCTCCCTTGAAGGCAAAGGCTGGGGTGCCAGGCTCCCAGCGTCTGGCTAAGTGCCCTCCTACCCTTACCCAGGCCCTACTGTGCTTCCTGAACCAACTCGAGGATGAGGACGTGCAGACGAGAGTGGCTGGCTGCCTGGCCTTAGGCTGCATCAAGGTGATCCCTGCCTGCCAACCCCTTTATCTCCCCTCGGGACTCCCCCAACCCTGGGCCCTGGGCTTTTCCATCTGCTCCAATGGGCCCACCTCAGTGCTTCCTCCTCTGATAGGCTCCTGAGGGCATTGAGCCCCTGGTGTACCTGTGCCAAACGGACACAGAAGTCGTGAGGGAGGCTGCTCGGCAGAGCCTGCAACAGTGTGGTGAGGCTGGGGGCCGGGAGATAGAGGTCAAGTAGAGTTCTGGGGCATTTTGGCTGACGGGGGTAGGGGTGAGATGGGGTCAAGGGTGGGAGGACCAAGGCTAGGGCTCCTCCTGATTCCATCCTTACTCATTGCAGGGGAAGAGGGACAGTCTGCCCACCGACGGCTAGAAGAGTCGCTGGACGCCCTGCCCCGCATCTTCGGGCCCGGCAGCATGGCCAGCACGGCCTTCTAAACTCCCCACACACTGGCTCTCAGTGCCACATCCCCCCACTTTCAGGGCTCACCAGGTGGCAGGGAGGGTGAGGGCTGGTTCCAGACACCCCTCCCCCATGTATTCCTATCCATGAAAATCTAATATATTCTTCAGTTGCCCTTGGGGTTGGTAGAGTCAGTGCCTGCAGTCAAGTGCCTCCCAGCCTCAGCTCAGCACACTTGCCACAGATCAGTGCCCCGGGCCTGGCCATCCTGCCTCTGCCCCATCACCTCCCTTGGTTTTGTATTTTATTTACAGAGTTTTACAGAAAATAAAAAAGCAAAATGCCTTTCCTACATGGCCTGGCCTAGTGTACTCCTGATCTTCTGGTTCCAGCACCCTTTGGCTGTGGCCTTTCTGACATGCCCACACTCCAACTGTGACAATGACATGTGCTTTTGCCCTGGAAATCTGGGTGGAAGAGAGCCCAGGGGCTGGAAGTGGGCTTGGAGAAGAGGGCAGAGAAAAAGGGTGGTGGCGTGTTGCTGAGGATCAGCCTGCTGGCTGGGCGTGCTCTGGGCCTGGAAGCTAGGGGCCCAGGCTGGAGCCAAACCACGGAGTTGGCCCAGAGAAGGCCCAGAGTGCCAGTCCTGGGAATGGCTCCCCAGCGGCTAGCACCCTGCTGCCAGGAGGCAAAGGGGAAGAAGCAGGCAGAGAAAAAAGGCATGGTGGTGGCTGGAGCTCCTGGCCACCAGGGGGCAGCAGAACCCTGTCCGAGAATGCCAGGCTTCTAGATTTCCCCTCAGCCCTGGCAGCTTCCTACAGAGGGCACAGCACTAGGAGCTCCTTGAGGGCTGGGTAGTAAGAGAGAGCAGATCCTTGCAGAGGGGAAGAGCTAGGGCCTGCGCGGCAGGAGACCAGGATGGCTGCCCAGTGACCCTAAATAACAAGTCCCTCCTCTACCCAAGCCACCTCCTCTCTGTAAAAACAACCCTGACTGAACCCCGTGGTCCTCCACAGCCAGCTGACCTGTTTTGCTTTGGGAAGCAGGGCTCCAGGGAGGGTTCATCTCGTCCCCAGAGGTGCCACATGTTAAGTGTGTTAACCCCAGAAGGCAAAGAGCTCTATGGGAGGAACTGGAGGGTGGGGTGGGATTTCAGGATGGCAGGCCTGTTCTAAGGAGGGCCTGAGGGAGGCCCACACCCAAGGCTGGAGAAACTGGCCCTCCACCCTTCCCTTCTCACTCCAGAGCTTTCGTTATCCAGAGGCAAGGGAGACGGTGCACAGGCAGGGCCTTCCCCAACCCTGGAGTCCACCGTGACACACGGGGGGGAAAGTGCACCTGCGCTCAGGCAGAGCTAATGAGGTGCCAACAGTTCCTCCTTGTGGGGGGGTGACCCAGATCCCCAGGGAGCCCCGCCCCCCAGTGTTTTGGAGATGTGTATAAGAGGTTTGGCTGGCCCTTAACCACCTGCTGGGGAAGCCACGCTGAGCAGCAGAAAAAAAAAAAAAGAAAGAAACGGCAACAGGAAGGAGCACAGGAAACACCTGTGTGTGGATGCAGGTGGCTCATTCCAGTCGGGTGGGGTTGCGGGCGGGCAGACAGCCCTCAGCACTTAGGCACAGCTCTGTGCTCCCTCTGTAACTGTGAAGGGTGTCATGGGAGGGATGGTGTGTAGTTCAGCTTTTTGGGGTGGTAGGCTGGCTGGGATGGCAGAGGGTAGAGAAGGCAAACAAGTGGTAGAGACCAAGCCAGCACCCAGAGCCGGCCACAGCTTGGGCCTGCTTCAAGGTCCCCTGCAGGAGGGTTGCAGTCCAAGAACCAACCCTGGGGCCCCACTGGTAGGGCAGGACTGTCCACTTGCATCCAAAGCACAGCCTGTGTGGTGGGGAAAGAGGAAGTAAACACTGGCTGACCAGGTTCTGGGAAAGGGCAGATGGCTGACTGGGCTGGCAGGAGTGCACACAGCTCAATCCACAGGAGAGGACAGCCTAGTCGAGAAATGTAGGGTGGAAAAATCATCCCAGTTGAGGGTCATCTGGAACTGTCACAGTGGCCCTATATCACTGCTTGCCAATGCTAGAAATGGATAGGGCTCTTAAGTTTCTATCCCCTATACGGAGAGTCCTCAGGCCACAGCCTAGCATTCAACCCTAGCCAAGGGTCAGGGCAGGTACTGTGAGCATAGCCAGGTAAAGGACTGTCAAAGCCAAGACAAAAAAGAGCCTTAATCCTTTGCCCCATCAAGCCTACCTACTTTAGAGCAGTGTGGATCAAACTACTCAATCCCTCTTCATCAGCAACCTGAAGTCAGACTGGATGGCCTCCTACATCCAGGCCCATGCCCAGGTCTGCAAGATGATAGAGGGCAGGGAGAGTCCCTGTCCACCCTCCTGTACAACATCCCCTCCCTCAACACACACAGCTTCACAGGTGCCTCCCACAGGGCAAAGCTGCTGCTCTCAGGACTGCTCACTCCCCACCCTGCTGTCATACAGGTTCAGGGAGGCATCCATTCCTACTGCCCCACACTCCTTAGAGTCAGGAGCCTTCTGCCAGCTGACGGGAGGTTGATGATACCATCTGATTCAAAGGCAGCTGGGTAGGGAAAGTCTGTGCCCGCCTGTCCTGTGTAGCCTGTGTAAGCCTCTGTGGGGTGAACAGAAGGAAGTGGGCCTCCCAGGCCTCTGACACCCTCCCAGTACCCCATCAATCAAGTCCACCAAGGCCACAGCCATGCCTTGGCTGTCATCATTGGACTCTTCCTGGGAGGAAACTGATAAGAGTGCACTGTAGAAAAAAGGGGCCAGGCTGAGGTAGTCCAGGATCTGATTTATTGTGTTGGTGGTCACTGGAGGCTCACCCCCCGCTCCCCACCCCACCGCCACTCTCCTCCTTTCCTCTTGTCCTCTTCCAACCTTACCTTTCCTCCTGTCTCCCACACTTCTTCCTCATGTATTCAAAGCTGCAGAGAACCAAAAAGAAGAAGAAAAAAAGGCATGTTTGTGAAGGCAAAGCAGATGGGAAGAGGACTGCTGCTTAGTCTCACCCACAGAGCGGGGGTGATTTTCTTGTGTTTCTATGCCTGGTGTGTGGGTACAATTTGCTGAACCCTCAGCATATGACATGTTCCCTCCTTTCCTTCCTTCTGCCTTCTGCCCCCTGACAGCCTTGAAGTATCCAGTTCAGGCCATACACCCACCATGGACAGAAGGCTTGACTGCTAGACCTGGGTCTTTTGGGCCTGGTTAATACAGGAGGGTGACCTTGGGAGGCACTCCAGGGCCTGTAAAAGTGCTAAGGAAGAACAATCTATCTGTAAGAAAATAAGACGGTCAGCGGCCTACAAGAAAGGGGCCTCTTGTTTCAGAAGACTGTACTGGGGTGATGGCCATGGTTTAAGTTTGATGTCAACAGTTAAGTCTCACTTGTCTCTGAATACACCCAGGACATATGGAACCTCAATAAATGCTGACTTACAGCAGCTGAATAAGCAGATGAATTGCTATAGCTAACACCTACGTTTCTGGTTATTTCCTCTGAGTCTCCTTAAAACCTCCTCCTCCACCACCTCCTCAAGCATCATTATACAAACATCACTCCACAGGATTCCATTCTAGGCCCTTTTCTCCTTGCTCTAGAAACACACTCCCTGAACAACCTTCTCCAGCCCCCTGCCTGCCATCTCTAAGCTGAGGCCAGTGATTTACATGGCACTCCCCTCCCCCCCAGACCCCCATATCTCCAAGTGCTGACGGACTAGACACTCCTTTTGAACAGCATGATCCTATTCACTCAACATCTCAAAATCTGTTTCTCCTCCAGGGCTCTTGGGGTTACCAACTACCCAGATATCCAAGCAACACAACTGAGCCTCATCCTTGACTTTTTCTTCTGTCCCCTCATTTCAGCCACCTTTATCCTCTCAATTAAATGCCCTAAATATTACTAAATTCTACCCACTTCTCTTTCTCGTCATTGACACCACTCAGATCCAGGACATGTTGGCCTCTCATGCAGACACTAAAACTGCCCCCCTCACAGGCTTCCTGCCCCTGGTCTTGCCCCTCTCCCATCCATTCTCCATAGTGCAGTCAGAGTGATTTCTAAGACATAAATCCACCACTACGGGCTCTCCGTTAGGGGAAATTCCAACACCCTAGAGCTGGCTCACAAAGCCCTTGGAGTCTATTCCCCTCTCCAGCCTCACTTCTGCCACCTAACTTCTCGCTCTGCACTGAAGACTCAAGGCAGGGCTTGCTTGCCCCATCATGGTACACTCTTCCTGCCCCTCATCTTGCCTTGTTAATAAGCCTGCTCACCTGAAAGGCTTCAACCTAGACATCCCAGATTTCTCCAGGAAGCCGCCCTCCCTGTGCTCTTGTCACAGGAGCCTGCACTTCCCCAGCAGGGTACTGATTCCACCCCACTGCAATTGTTCATTTACTTTGTATTTGCCAATGTACAGGGTGGGGCAAAAGTAGGTTTACAGTTGTGAGTACGTGAAACAGTTTATCCTTGTATTATTATTTATTAATTGTTGCATTACAAACAACTGTAAAACTACTTTCCCCCTATTCTGTATATATCCATAAGTATTTGCTTGCTCTTCTACTACTTAACAGGCACCACCCAAGTCCCTTATGGAGGTTGGTCCAAGTTTTTTGTTTTACTTGTTTTTAAACAGCTTTATTAAGATTAAGTCCACATACCATGCAATTCACCCATTTAAAGCCTACAGTTCAATGGCTTTTAATGTAGTCACAGAATTGAGCAATCATCACCACAATCGATTTTAGAGCATTTTCATAAACCCCCAAAAGAAACTGCACCCCTTAGCTATAATCCCTTGGGCCTTCACATCCCCCTATCCCCATCCCCACCCTAAAGCAACCACTAATCTACACCTATACAGATTTGCCTATTCTGGATATTCTTTTTTTAAATATATTTTTATTGATTTCAGAGAGGAAGGGAGAGGGAGAGATAGAAACATCAACGATGAGAGAGAATCATTGATCGGCTGCCTCCTGCACGCCCCACAATGGAATCAAGCCCACAACTTGGACATGTGCCCTTGACTGGAATCAAACCTGGGACCCTTCAGTCCACAGGCTGACACTCTATCCACTGAGCCAAATAAACTAGGGCTATTCTGGATATTCTTTTTTTTTTTAAATATATTTTATTGATTTCTTTACAGAGAGGAAGGGAGAGGGATAGAGAGCTAGAAACATCGATGAGAGAGAAACATCGATCAGCTGCCTCCTGCACACCTCCCAATGGGGATGTGCCCACAACCAAGG